CGTCCTGTATTTTATACATTTTATACATTATCAGATCCGCTGTTCATTTGATTAAGTATAATTCGTTACATAAAATTCAATGAAAATTAGATAATCTTTGGAGTAGGGCAATGGAATCGCTCCAGCGTACAAGGTCACCCTCAGACTCACTCGTTACCTGGGGTGACTTCATTGTGTAGTTATTGTACATATTTGGGATGTGTGTTTTGGGTCAATATCACACCAGCACTGTTGAAGAATCACTTAAAAGGAGTCTGCTTATTCTTTAGTAAAGTCTTGTACTACACCAACATTCCGACTTCTAACCCCTTTCTCGTATTTGTTTCAAAAACTGTTATATTTTTATGAAAAAGTAATTGATTTTAGTCAATTTTTCAAATGGTTTTACAAATCCAGCTAGAAATGAATATTTATAAGACAGAATACAGATCGTATCTTATTTTAAATGTGTGTGTGTGTGTGTGTGTGTGTGTGTGTGTGTGTGTGTGTGTGTGTGTGTGTGTGTGTGCGTGTGTGTGAGAGAGATGAAGAAGGGTATAGAGAATGGGAGGGAGTAGAGAAGGTAGAGGGCATTGGCTGTCTTAAGAATACTTTACAAAACTTTAGATAAACTGTCAAGAGACCGTGAATGCGGTCTGGAGCGTCTCGGCTGATAGTCAATAATTAAAGGAGGACATTTGTTTCTCTCAGCGTGGCTCCCGAGGACAAACACGAGTGTTTGAGTCAGGTATTGAGTCGAGTTCTCTAACTTTTCTCAGGACTAATAATAATATGAAAGCGAAGTTGTAAAATAAGAAACACAAAGAAACTAAACCTTGAAAGAACTAGACGAAAACAAACCAAACGAAAGCAAGAATAAGAATATATGAGGATAAAAAAAGGTGGTAAAAACGAGGCAGGAGAGAGGAGACTATATGAGGTATATCGGTGAAGTGTGCGGGCCGGATGAGAAGACTATATGAGGTATATCGGTGGAGTGTGCGGGCCGGATGAGAAGACTATATGAGGTATATCGGTGGAGTGTGCGGGCCGGATGAGGAGACTATATAAGGTATATCGGTGGAGTGTACGGGCCGGATGAGAAGACTATATGAGGTATATCGGTGGAGTGTGCGGGCCGGATGAGGAGACTATATAAGGTATATCGGTGGAGTGTGCGGGCCGGATGAGAAGACTATATGAGGTATATCGGTGGAGTGTGCGGGCCGGATGAGAAGACTATATGAGGTATATCGGTGGAGTGTGCGGGCCGGATGAGAAGACTATATAAGGTATATCGGTGGCGTGTGCGGGCCGGATGAGAAGACTATATGAGGTATATCGGTGGAGTGTGCGGGCCGGATGAGAAGACTATATAAGGTATATCGGTGGAGTGTGCGGGCCGGATGAGAAGACTATATAAGGTATATCAGTGAAGTGTGCGGGCCGGATGAGAAGACTATATAAGGTATAGCGGTGGAGTGTGCGGGCCGGATGAGAAGACTATATAAGGTATATCGGTGGAGTGTGCAGGCCGGATGAGAAGACTATATAAGGTATATCGGTGGAGTGTGCGGGCCGGATGAGAAGACTATATAAGGTATATCGGTGGAGTGTGCGGGCCGGATGAGAAGACTATATGAGGTATATCGGTGGAGTGTGCGGGCCGGATGAGAAGACTATATAAGGCATATCGGCGGAGTGTGCGGGCCGGATGAGGAGACTATATAAGGTATATCGGCGGAGTGTGCGGGCCGGATGAGAAGACTATATAAGGTATATCGGTGGAGTGTGCGGGCCGGATGAGAAGACTATATAAGGTATATCAAGGAGTGTGCGGGCCGGATGAGGAGACTATATAAGGTATATCGGTGGAGTGTGCGGGCCTGATGAGAAGACTATATAAGGTATATCAGGGAGTGTGCGGGCCGGATGAGGAGACTATATAAGGTTTATTGGTGGAGTGTGCGGGCCGGATGAGAAGACTATATAAGGTATATCGGTGAAGTGTGCGGGCCAGATGAGGAGACTATATGAGGTATATCGGTGGAGTGTGCGGGCCGGATGAGGAGACTATATGAGGTATATCGGTGGAGTGTGCGGGCCGGATGAGAAGACTATATAAGGTATATCGGTGAAGTGTGCGGGCCGGATGAGGAGACTATATGAGGTATATCGGTGGAGTGTGCGGGCCGGATGAGAAGACTATATAAGGTATATCGGTGGAGTGTGCGGGCCGGATGAGAAGACTATATGAGGTATATCGGTGGAGTGTGCGGGCCGGATGAGGAGACTATATAAGGTATATCGGTGGAGTGTGCGGGCCGGATGAGAAGACTATATGAGGTATATCGGTGGAGTGTGCGGGCCAGATGAGAAGACTATATGAGGTATATCGGTGGAGTGTGCGGGCCGGATGAGAAGACTATATAAGGTATATCAGTGAAGTGTGCGGGCCGGATGAGAAGACTATATGAGGTATATCGGTGGAGTGTGCGGGCCGGATGAGAAGACTATATAAGGTATATCGGTGGAGTGTGCGGGCCGGATGAGAAGACTATATAAGGTATATCGGTGGAGTGTGCGGGCCGGATGAGAGGAAGAGCAGCAGCACATCTGGCGGAGGTGGACAAGGCAGCCGGATGGAAATGGTCATTACTAGCACATGTCTCACAGACCTGCGTGTCCTCCTACACCCTGCCATCTGGACGGCTCCTCCTCCTCCTCTTCCTCCTCCTGCTCCTACTCATCGTCATATGCAACTGTTACTGCTTTTGCAACTGCTACTGTTGCTTGTGCTGCTGCTAATTAACTTTTACTGATGTAGGGAATTGTCTCTGTTGCGATTATAGACTCGTTACTCCTCCTGTAACTGCTACTGCTGTTTGTATCTGTTCTTCTTGGTGATTTAGCTGCTGCTGCTGCTAATGTACTTTTAACTGCTCCTCCTGCTGATTTACATATAACTTGCTGCTGTTGCTGCTGCTATGATCACTCTTGCTCCTGCAGTTGCTGATTTTTCATCTGCATTTCTCTGCCCGTCTTCAGGTGAATTACTTCAATTATTAATGATTTGTTATATATTTGCTAGAATATTTCTGCTCGTTTTGTTGCTAATGCCTTTTGATATGTGTTGACGGCGGTACAACTACCGCTCCTGCCCGGGGCCAAGATGATTCTTGTGTCTTAGACATTCACACTGGCAGCTTGTCTCGGTGATGCAACACTTCAGTCATTCATCTGGGGGATCTAGAGCACACAGACGGTGTACTAATACTTGAGTAACGGTATAAAAAACACACACACACACACACACACACACACACACACACACACACACACACACACACACACACACACACACACACACACACACACACACACATAGGTCCTTGGACCTATACTGTTTCTGGTATATGTAAATGATCTCCCAGAGGGTATAGATTCGTTCCTCTCAATGTTTGCCGACGATGCAAAAATTATGAGGAGGATTGAAACAGAGGATGATAGTAGGAGGCTACAAGATGACCTGGATAGACTGAGTGAATGGTCCAACAAATGGCTGTTGAAGTTCAACCCGAGTAAATGCAAAGTAATGAAACTAGGCAGTGGAAACAGGAGGCCAGGCACAGGATACAGAATAGGAGATGAAGTACTTAATGAAACAGACAGAGAGAAAGATCTAGGAGTTGATATCACACCAAACCTGTCTCCTGAAGCCCACATAAAGAGAATAACGTCTGCGGCATATGCGAGGCTGGCTAACATCAGAACGGCGTTCAGGAACCTGTGTAAGGAATCATTCAGAATCTTGTACACCACATATGTAAGACCAATCCTGGAGTATGCGGCCCCAGCATGGAGCCCGTACCTTGTCAAGCACAAGACGAAGCTGGAAAAAGTCCAAAGGTATGCTACTAGACTAGTCCCAGAACTAAGAGGCATGAGTTATGAGGAAAGGCTGCGGGAAATGCACCTCACGACACTGGAAGACAGAAGAGTAAGGGGGGACATGATCACAACCTACAAAATCCTCAGGGGAATCGACCGGGTAAACAAGGACGAACTTTTCAACACTGGTGGGACGCGAACAAGGGGACACAGGTGGAAGCTGAGTACCCAAATGAGCCACAGAGACGTTAGAAAGAACTTTTTCAGTGTCAGAGTAGTTAGCAAATGGAATGCATTAGGAAGTGATGTGGTGGAGGCTGACTCCATTCACAGTTTCAAATGTAGATATGATAGAGCCCAATAGGCTCAGGAATCTGTACACCAGTTGATTGACGGTTGAGAGGCGGGACCAAAGAGCCAGAGCTCAACCCCCGCAAGCACAATTAGGTGAGTACACACACACACACACAGCGTTCAGGAACCTGTGTAAGGAATCATTCAGAATCTTGTACACCACATATGTAAGACCAATCCTGGAGTATGCGGCCCCAGCATGGAGCCCGTACCTTGTCAAGCACAAGACGAAGCTGGAAAAAGTCCAAAGGTATGCCACTTGACTAGTCCCAGAACTAAGAGGCATGAGTTACGAGGAAAGGCTGCGGGAAATGCACCTTACGACACTGGAAGACAGAAGAGTAAGGGGAGACATGATCACAACCTACAAAATCCTCAGAGGAATCGACCGGGTAAACAAGGATAAACTATTCAACACTGGTGGGACGCGAACAAGGGGACACAGGTGGAAACTGAGTACCCACATGAGCCACAGAGACGTTAGAAGGAACTTTTTCAGTGTCAGAGTAGTTAACGGATGGAATGCATTAGGCAGTGATGTGGTGGAGGCTGACTCCATACACAGTTTTAAATGTAGATATGATAGAGCCCCAGTAGGCTCAGGAATCTGTACACCAGTTGATTGACAGTTGAGAGGCGGGACCAAAGAGCCAAAGCTCAACCCCCGTAAGCACAAATAGGTGAGTACAAATAGGTGAGTACACACACACACACACACACACACACACACACACACACACACACACACACACACACACACACACACCAGAACCCACCTGGGGATGTAGAGTATCCTCTCGGCGATGACGAAGCCGACGGTGAAGAGGAGGTTGGTGGCCGGGAGGAATGGCAGCACCAGCAGCGCCAGCCCCAGCAGCAACGCCCGCCCCTCCTGGCCCTGCACGAGGAGAGAAAGACACCGCTCAAGCACTGGCGAGGACAGGCACGGACAGGAGCAGGCAAGGTCGTGCGTGGTGAGCAAGGGGACAGAGGAACGAGATGAGGGTAACTTAGGCCACTGTCACGCTTGTGTTGGGGAGCAATAACACGGGAGGAAGAGAGAGAGACTGTGTGTGTGTGTGTGTGTGTGTGTGTGTGTGTGTGTGTGTGTGTGTGTGTGTGTGTGTGTGTATGTGTGTGTGTGTGTGTGTGTGTGTGTGTGTGTGTGTGTTTATAGGAGCGGTGTTTATGTGAGGGTGCAAACAATAACGTTAATTAATACATTCCTTTAAATTATTTGTAGGTTAATTTTAAGGATCAATAAACCTGACAAAGGCTAACACACCTTTCGCTTCGTTCACCGGGACAGTTCAATACAATCAACTGAGAAACGATAATCGTCGAGAATTAGTAAAACAAACAAATGCTCCTCTGAAAATAAGATTTTAGAATAAAACACACTGAAAAGACGCCACAGAATCTTGCAGAGATTGGATCAAAACAAATCCAGGAGGAATACATACTGCAGTAAAATCCATTGTTTTAGGAGCTTGGGGAAGTTTTGTTTGAGGAATTAAACGAGAGAGTCGCCATGCCCCTGCAGGGGAGAGTTCGGGAAATAAACAAGAGTGGCTGTAGGAGAGCCTGGAGGTGCAGGAGAGGTAGGGGGAAGGGGGTTCAGGAGAGCACTTGTCTACTAAAAGGTTGTGACAGAAATATGAGTCAAAGCGAAGGGTCATATTTTTATAATGAGATCACTGGGGAGTTGGCGTCGTGTGGGTGGTTGGAAGACTGTTGGCGGTTGACTGCTCACACTGCCAACACTACCAGTCAATATATATATATTATATATATATATATATTAGTATATTTTGGTAGCAGTCTTTCCTGTAGACATATATTATTAAATATGACCGAAAAAGTAAGATTAATAATTCTAACACGAATTTTCTCAATCTTTCGTACATTTCTTTTCACTGTTGTAGGTAAATCAAAAATCAATTCTCCAAAATTCATTTTTATTTCTAGTCTGACGCGACACGAGCGCGTTTCGTAAAACTTATTACATTTTCAAAGACTTTTAGTTTACAAATACACAACTGAATAGAACTTACGCATCTCCGATTTTATATCTACATTTGAGTGAGGTGGATGGGGTGAGGTAGCATTAATAGGGTATTAATTTCATCAACACAAGACAGAACAAGAGGTGGCATTAATAGGGTATTAATTTCATCAACACAAGACAGAACACGAAACAATGGGTATTGAATAGAAGTGTTTGTAGAAAGCCGATTGGTCCATATTTCTTGATGCTTCTATATTGGAGCGGAGTCTTGAGGTGGGTAAAATATAGTTGTGCATTAATTGGCTGTTGATTGCTGGTGTTGACTTCTTGATGTGTAGTGCCTCGCAAACGTCAAGCCGCCTGCTATCGCTGTATCTATCGATGATTTCTGTGTTGTTTACTAGGATTTCTCTGGCGATGGTTTGGTTGTGGGAAGAGATTATATGTTCCTTTATGGAGCCCTGTTGCTTATGCATAGTTAAACGCCTAGAAAGAGATGTTGTTGTCTTGCCTATATACTGGGTTTTTTGGAGCTTACAGTCCCCAAGAGGGCATTTGAAGGCATAGACGACGTTAGTCTCTTTTAAAGCGTTCTGTTTTGTGTCTGGAGAGTTTCTCATGAGTAGGCTGGCCGTTTTTCTGGTTTTATAGTAAATCGTCAGTTGTATCCTCTGATTTTTGTCACCTCATCCACCTCACCCAAATGTAGATATGAACTCGAAGATGTGCAAACTCTATTCAGTTTCAGTTGTGTGTTTGTAAACTAAAGTATTTGAAAATGTAATAAGTTTTACGAAACGCGCGATCAAGTGTCGCGTCAGACTAGAAATAAAAATGAAATTTGGAGAATTGATCTTTGAATTACCATCAACAGTGAAAAGAAACGTAAGAAAGATAGAGAAAATTCGTGTTAGAATTATTAATCTTACTTTTTCGGTCATATTTAATAATATATGTCTACAGGAAAGACTGCTACCAATATATATATATATATATATATATATATATATATATATATATATATATATATATATATATGTGTGTGTGTGTGTGTATCACGAAAATAAACACGTGATTAAGAATGTGACAATGTCAGACCACGGAGGAAAAATGAAACAGGAAATTTCCTTAAGTACTTTCGTATATTAAATACACCTTCTGAAGGTCAATACACCTACATTAAATACACCTTCTGAAGATGTATTTAATATACGAAAGTACTTAAGGAAATTTCCTGTTTCATTTTTCCTCCGTGGTCTGACATTGTCATATATATATATATATATATATATATATATATATATATATATATATATATATATATATATATATATATATATGTCGTACCTAGTAGCCAGAACGCACTTCTCAGCCTACTATGCAAGGCCCGATTTGCCTAATAAGCCAAGTTTTCATGAATTAATGTTTTTTCGACTACCTAACCTACCTAACCTAACCTAACCTAGCTTTTTCGGCTACCTAACCTAACCTAACCTATAAAGATAGGTTAGGTTAGGTTAGGTAGGGTTGGTTAGGTTCGGTCATATATCTAAGTTAATTTTAACTCCAATAAAAAAAACTGACCTCATAAGTAATGAAATGGGTAGCTTTATCATTTCATAAGAAAAAAATTAGAGCAAATATATTAATAAAGGAAAACTTGGCTTATTAGGCAAATCGGGACTTGCATAGTAGGCTGAGAAGTGCGTTCTGGCTACTAGGTACGACATATATATATATATATATATATATATATATATATATATATATATATATATATATATGTCGTACCTAGTAGCCAGAACGCACTTCTCAGCCTACTATGCAAGGCCCGATTTGCCTAATAAGCCAAGTTTTCATGAATTAATTGTTTTTCGACTCCCTAACCTACCTAGCCTAACCTAACCTATCTTTTTCGGCTACCTAACCTAACCTATCCTATAAAGATAGGTTAGGTTAGGTTAGGTAGGATTGGTTAGGTTCCGTCATATATCTACGTTAATTTTAACTCCAATAAAAAAAAATTGACCTCATACATAATGAAATGGGTAGCTTTATCATTTCATAAGAAAAAAATTAGAGAAAATATATTAATTCAGGAAAACTTGGCTTATTAGGCAAATTGGGCCTTGCATAGTAGGCTGAGAAGTGTGTTCTGGCTACTAGGTACGACATATATATATATATATATATATATATATATATATATATATATATATATATATATATATATATATATATATATATATATACAATATAATATACATACATCATACATAAAAATAAATATAATTAATATATAAGCCAAAGATAGCAGATATTAGGCTATCGAACGTATATTAGGGGTGGCGGCGTCGAACCAACGTCCTGGTTCACCCCAGACGCACGCTGTACCCATAGATGAAAGAAATGCTAAAAGTTACACAACCTGGAGTCTAGCCGAGCCCACTGGGAATGTGTAGACATTGAGCTGGTATCTATTGCAAGTTTTGCACGTAACCTGCGTACACTGGTGGAGGGAAGGGAGTTATACACCAAACGCTTCAGTTAAATACAAATTTTATCAATCACAGTAACATGATATTTCACATGAACGTTTGGTGGAGAACTCCATTATCTACACCAGCGTATGCAGGTTACATGTAAAAATCGGATTGGGTAGTCGGGTAGGCAGGTATGTGTGTTGGATAGGCAGGTGTGTGTGGTGGATAGGCAGGTGTGTGTGTTGGATAGGCAGGTGTGTGTGGTGGGTGGGTGTAATTAATACAGATAAAACACAACAGCAACACTGCCAAATATTATATTACCTTCATCAAGCATCCAGCTCTGAGTATAAGTACAAGGGCGCCGTAGAACAAAAGAGAAGCGATGTTCCTGGTGTCTATGATGGAGGTGATGAGCGGGATGGAGCCCATCTGCCAGTCGTGCGCCAGCGTCCACGGGCACAACAGCAGCCAGGCGTTGAACACCGGCAGATACCAGAAGGTCAGCACCCTGCGCCGGGGGTAAACACAACACATTAACACGTTACAGGCACGCCAGAAGAACTAGAAAGTCTATACATCAAGAAAACACCTGAACAACATGGCAGCAGGAACCACCAACATCCAGACTGTATCCTACCCTCAGTCAGGGTAATATCAACACGTCCTTCTAATAGAACGTCGCATTTTGACGTGTTCCCTACCTAAGGCCAGAAATTGTCGTGCTAGAAAATGGGAGCGGCTCGCAAAATTGACATACTGGCCCGTTTTCTGTTTTGGGGTCCTCGGGTGGGTTAGGATAATGGCACTTTAGTAGGACAGTTTCTTGATGTTAGGAAACCTTAGGAGGCAACCCGTTCTCGCAAATTTAATAAGTCAATATTGACTTATTAGTTGCGTGCATAGGTGATATACTTAACATAATAGTTTCCCTTGAAAAGCTTCATAGAAAACACCGACCTTACCTAACCTACTTAGTATGTTAAAATAAGCATCTTATAGCTTCGTAATTACAATTGTTACTTAACCTATTATAGGTATAGGTTAGGTAATAATTGTAATTACGAAGCAATAAGATGCTTATCTTAACATACTAAGTAGGTTAGGTAAGGTCGGTGTTTTCTATGAAGCTTTTCAAGGGAAACTATTATGTTAAGTATGTCACCTATGCACATATTTAATAAGTCAATATTGACTTATTAAATATGCGAGAACGGGTTGTAGGAGGACGGGCTGAATAATATCCACAAAGTTAGCTGCTTATGAAGGAAAAAGAAGGTTGAAGTGAAATTGAGTTAAGACATAAAGCGTGGAATTAAGTTGGTCATAATATGCATTTTTTTAAGTACAAAGTGTGTTTACGATACGAAACTTCCTGCAATCCGTATGGTGTTGCAATGTTTGGTGGCTGGAGTTGCTATACTCTCTCTTCTAATGTTTTCTTTTGTCATGAGTGTTTTAACATCCTTAAAGTTGGCCTGGTGTTGTTCGTGGTGTTTGTGCGTGACGAGTTCGTACTCTCATCTTCTTGAGACGAATATTTACATTCTCAAATCCTGTGATCTAAGTTTGTCTCCTGTGTATACATCGTCACAGTTTTTAAAAGACTTTGTGTTCACTTGTGGCCGAAATGATTCTGTTCTGCTCCTGACGAGGAGGTTCAAGGAGGAGGTTTTGTGTCTGTAATGGTTTCAGTGCGGGTGTTACCTTAAGGTTACCCATGATTTCGGGGCTCAACGTCCCCGCGGCCCGGTTCCCGACCAGACCTCCTGGTTGCTGGACTGGTCAACCAGGCTGTTGGACGCAGCTGCTCGCAGCTTGACGCATGAATCACAGCCTGGTTAATCAGGGGTGCTTTGGAGGTGTTTGTCAAAATCTCTCTTGAACATTGTGAGGGGTTGGCCAGTTTTTTCCCATATGTGTAATGGAAGCGTGTTGAACAGTCTCGGGCCTCTGATGTTGATAGCGTTCTCTCAGAGTACCTAATGCACCTCTGCTTTTCAACGGGGGTATTCTGCACATCCTGCCATGCTTCCTGGTCTCATGTGATGTTATTTCTGTCTGCAGGTTTGGGACCAGCCTCTCCACCATTTTCCACGTGTAAATTATCATGTATCTCTCCCGCCTGCGCCCTAGAGAAATTTTAGGTTTAGGCATCTTAGTCATAACAGTAAAGGAGCCCTGCACGCTCTCCAGGTCAGCAATTTCTCCAGCTTTGAAAGCTGTCATTGTGCAACAGTATTCCACTAACGTCTTGAAAAGTATCATCATTGGTATAACATCTCTAGTTTGAAAGGTTCTTGTTATCCAACCTGATGAGTTAGATATATTTGTTGCCTGTTCTGTTTGAAAATCCAGACATCGTCAGCGGGCTTAGAACCTTCCTTTTCCATAACTCATTTTAAATCTTATCCTAATAGTTTTTTCTAAAATACTACCCAGAAATCGGTTTACAAACCGGGTTTCCAGTTACTGCTGGGTGAACAGGGGCGAACAATAATGAATTGGCGCCCAGTCAATCCTACATAGTCAGGGCTCGAACCCAGATGAAATTGATCACGAGACGTGGAGCTAGTGTTACCACACAGCGGGGTGTTACTGTTGATAAATTTTGATAAGATTGTAAACCAGAAATTTCTAAATGGTCAAATAAAGAGGATAACCGCTATCAATGCACAATGAAAAACACAATAACGCGGCGAATCTGTGAAGGCGTCATATGGCACTAATATTTACTCGTTATCCCTCGTCTCGTTATGTCAACATAAGTGATCAAAGGTAAACAAATTTGGTTTTATGAAGACCATGAGCGTTATAGTCTCCATCTGGCTTTATAAGCCTGTCTGAGAAAGGTAGGGTGCTATCTATTTATATTTAAAATGTAAATTACATATTGGGTTTTACTTATTTCCTCTTTTATATTTTTCTTCCACAATTTTCAGTACCCGTGTGTGGGTGATTTCTTCCTATAGGTTCCCACTTACTTTCTCCAGCAGCCCTGCTATTCTGTCGTCCGTTTCTTGTGTTTCTTAATTGGTTTCTTTTCAGTTACCTGAGAGCTTCAGTCCCTCTTCTTCCCGGACCTCCGGCCATCTAGACGATCTCCTGCCCCGTGTGGCAGTGAAAATGAGCATCAGCATCACTGTAATAACACCTAATTGAATTACTTCCATTAAGCAAAATTGCATATTAATTTTGTCAGTAAAGATAATAATGCAATCTAGATTGGTCTTGGATAACCGAGCTGGAATATTAGCAGAGTCCGTGTTGAGTTTGGTGTCTCTCTTCTACATCTTCGTAGGCCTCTGTTTTGTTTACATATTTCTATATAAATTTGTAAGACCTCATGTTAGATCTTACTTGCTAGGTTTCTCTAGATGAAACCCGTGTGTGTGTGTATTTACTATTTGTATCTGCGGGCTTAGATACAAGCCCGCTTTTCTAACCTCTTGCACACGCACACACACACACACACACACACACACACACACACACACACACACACACACACACACACACACACACACACACACACACACACACACACATCCCCAGGAAGCAGCCCGTAGCAGCAGTCTAACTTGCAGGTACCTATTTACTGCTAGGTGAAAAGGAGCACATTTGTTTCTGCTTCCGCCGGGAATTGAACTCGGTCCCTTAGACTACGATCTAGACTGAGCGCTGTCCACTCAGCAGTGAGGCCGTGAGGTGTGTATTCACCTAGTTGTATTAACCTAGTTGTGCTTGCGGGGGTTGAGCTTTGCTCTTTCGGTCCGCCTCTCAACTGTCAATTAACTGTTACTAACTACTAACAAATTCCCCCCTCCACCACCCCCTCCCCACACACACACCCAGGAAGTAGCTCGGTTGCAGCTGTCTAACTCCCAGGTACTTATTAACTGCTAGGTAACAGGGGGAGTCAAGGTGAGAGAAATTTTGCCCATTTGTTTCTGCCTGGACCGGGAATCGAACCAGGGGCACAGAATTACGAGCCATGAGCGCAGTCTACTCAGCTACCAGACCCCCTGTGTGCGTGTGTGTGTTTATGCGTGCGAGTGTGCGTGCGGGCGTGCGCGTCGGGACTCTGAGCCCTCCGCCACACCACTGATAAAGCAGACATGAGAGAGGTCCTAAACCTTGGGGGTTGGACAATCGTAATGTTTCAATATTGCCGGCGAGGACGAGGGCGACGAGTGGGTAATGTTCCATGTGTCGTGGCGGGGAAAATATTGGCCATCTGGGAAGGAAGAAGGTGGAGCGCGCTCTGGTGTCTTTAAAAGTATAGCTTTATTAAGTGAATTTGTCTTGGGGAGTTTTATGTCTTGAAACTCAAGCGCCTGGAATCTTTAACTGTTCAGCAGTTCTTGAGATGCAACCCAGCTTCCTGTTTAGACAGTAGTTACAGTATTGATGTGGACCATAGTGCATATATTGACGTAATAGATACTTAGAAAGTAGAATTTAGCACTATTGAATATGGACTAACCAGAAAAGGTTTTGTATTTAGGTTCCTAGTGAAACCTAACCTAACCATCCTAGGCTTAATACATACACGCTACCAGGAATCTGTCCTCTTACAAAGAACGTCGCATTTCGCTCGTATGCGTTACATAAGGGGCAAAAGTTGCCGTACTAGAAAATGGAAGTGGCTGGCGAAAGTGACGTACTGTCCCGTTTTCTGTTTTGGGTCCTCTGGTAGGTTAGGATAAGGGCACTTCAATGTTTCTGTTTTTGTAACAGTGAGAAACCTTAGGAAGACGGGCTGACCTGAAGTGTAATGGTAGCGGGCATCCATCAGTCTCAGGAGACTGTGGAGTCGCGCTCTGGCTGTCGGTCTGGAGTGACCTCTCCAGGGCGTAAAGCCAGGGTAGGTTGATACGGAGAAGCTGTTACCCATGCAGCAGGTCCCCTCCACCTTCCACGGCGCCAAGCCTGGGCAGGTCAGGTCAGCCCATCCTCCTAAGGTTTCTCAACGTCATGAAAACGGTCAAATTGAAGCGCCCTAATCCTAACCTACCAGAGGACCCAAAACAGAAAACACGACAGTACGACTCTTTTTCTTTAATATAGTACATATATGTACTATAGGAATAGATCAAACTGAGCCTAGGAATAGATAACTTTGGGTGTTAGCTATTTTTGAGGATCTATAAAGGTAATATTACCAAACAGGTGGACGGGTTGTGGTATTACATGTTTATTATAGATAATTATTCATAATAATTCACTATAAAAATGCCGATATATTTTCTTGTTTTTGATAGAATTTTTATCGTTCAAATACTATTTTCCATATTGCATCGTTCACATACTATTATTGACACCGATAATTTTCCTTTTTATACTGAAAAAAAGTCACATTATTTAATTTTCCGTGGAAATACCACCTGATGCTTTCGCATTAAATTGACAAGTTCATTTTTTTAAAGTCACTGATTTCATCTTATTTCCTTATTAGGAAGATATTCTCCCTTGCCAGATGACGTCACGGGACTCGTATTCATATTCGTCGTATTTCGTCATGATCGTTTACCGGGCCTTAGACGGTGTCTTCAAATTGTTGGAGAGTAAGACAAAGGGCTTGAAGAAAACCCTCACTACCTTGGGAGAGCTTCCTCACAGCCCAGGTGTGAGGGATGAGGGCTACCCCACGCTGCTTCCTCACAGCCCTGGTGTGAGGGATGAGGGCTACCCAATGTTGCTTCCTCACAGCCCTGGTGTGAGGGATGAGGGCTACCCAATGTTGCTTCCTCACAGCCCTGGTGTGAGGGATGAGGGCTACCCCATGCTGCTTCCTCACAGCCCTGGTGTGAGGGATGAGGGCTACCCAATGCTGCTTCCTCACAGCCCTGGTGTGAGGGATGAGGGCTACCCCACGCTGCTTCCTCACAGCCCTGGTGTGAGGGATGAGGGCTACCCAATGCTGCTTCCTCACAGATCTGGTGTTAGGAATAAGGGCTACCCAATGCTGCTTCCTCACAGCCCTGGTGTTAGGAATAAGGGCTACCCAATGCTGCTTCCTCACAGCCCTGGTGTTAGGAATAAGGGCTACCCAATGCTGCTTCCTCACAGATCTGGTGTTAGGAATAAGGGCTACCCAATGCTGCTTCCTCACAGCCCTGGTGTGAGGGATGAGGGCTACCCCATGCTGCATCCTCACAGCCCTGGTGTGAGGGATGAGGGCTACCCCATGCTGCTATCTCACAGCCCTGGTGTGAGGGATGAGGGCTACCCCACGCTGCTTCCTCACAGCCCTGGTGTGAGGGATGAGGGCTACCCCATGCTGCTTCCTCACAGCCCTGGTGTGAGGGATGAGGGCTACCCCATGCTGCTTCCTCACAGCCCTGGTGTGAGGGATGAGGGCTACCCCATGCTGCATCCTCACAGCCCTGGTGTGAGGGATGAGGGCTACCCCACGCTGCTTCCTCACAGCCCTGGTGTGAGGGATGAGGGCTACCCCATGCTGCATCCTCACAGCCCTGGTGTGAGGGATGAGGGCTACCCCATGCTGCTTCCTCACAGCCCTGGTGTGAGGGATGAGGGCTACCCAATGCTGCTTCCTCACAGCCCTGGTGTGAGGGATGAGGGCTACCCCATGCTGCATCCTCACAGCCCTGGTGTGAGGGATGAGGGCTACCCCATGCTGCATCCTCACAACCCAGGTGTGAGGGATGAGGGCTACCCCATGCTGCATCCTCACAGCCCTGGTGTGAGGGATGAGGGCTACCCCATGCTGCATCCTCACAGCCCTGGTGTGAGGGATGAGGGCTACCCCATGCTGCTATGTCACAGCCCTGGTGTGAGGGATGAGGGCTACCCCACGCTGCATCCTCACAGCCCAGGTGTGAGGGATGAGGGCTACCCCATGCTGCTATCTCACAGCCCTGGTGTGAGGGATGAGGGCTACCCCACGCTGCTACCTCACAGCCCTGGTGTGAGGTGTGTGGAGTGAGGGAGACAACTTGGTGGGTACCAGTCCCTTGTAAGTGTAAACGTACTCTTTTGGAGGTCATAAAATGATATAAATATCTCTACATCACTACACTCTCGGTATCCGATATGCTTGATTAATAATTTTGGTAATACTTGTCTTGTGAGTCAAGCCGCCATCAAAGCACACTTGCTTATGATAATTGGAGACTTCGAGGCGTTATATACGTAGCTGATATCTTCTTCACCAGGAAGAAGAGGATAACAGGTGACCTATTTTAATAAGTGGGGGATGAAGTAGGTCATTGTAACATTCTTCTCGTTCGGTATTAAAGCAACATTCGTCTCGGTAGCAGGGTACTGTAGACAGAAGGGTACTGTAGACAGAAGGGTACTGTAGACAGAAGGGTACTGTAGACAGAAGGGTACTGTAGACAGAAGGGTACTGTAGACAGAAGGGTACTGTAGACAGAAGGATACTGTAGACAGAAGGGTACTGTAGACAGAAGGGTACTGTAGACAGAAGGATACTGTAGACAGAAGGGTACTGTAGACAGAAGGGTACTGTAGACAGAAGGATACTGTAGACAGAAGGGTACTTAAGACAGAAGGGTACTGTAGACAGAAGGGTACTGTAGACAGAAGGGTACTGTAGACAGAAGGATACTGTAGACAGAAGGGTACTGTAGACAGAAGGGTACTGTAGACAGAAGGATACTGTAGACAGAAGGGTACTGTAGACAGAAGGGTACTGTAGACAGAAGGGTACTGTAGACAGAAGGGTACTGTAGACAGAAGGGTACTGTAGACAGAAGGGTACTGTAGACAGAAGGGTACTGTAGACAGAAGGGTACTGTAGACAGAAGGGTACTGTAGACAGAAGGGTACTGTAGACAGAAGGGTACTGTAGACAGAAGGGTACTGTAGACAGAAGGGTACTGTAGACAGAAGGGTACTGTAGACAGAAGGGTACTGTAGACAGAAGGGTACTGTAGACAGAAGGGTACTGTAGACAGAAGGGTACTAAAGACAGAAGGGTACTGAAGACAGAAGGGTACTGTAGACAGAAGGGTACTGTAGACAGAAGGTACTGTAGACAGAAGGGTACTAGACAGAAGGGTACTGAAGACAGAAGGGTACTGTAGACAGAAGGGTACTGTAGACAGAAGGGTACTGAAGACAGAAGGGTACTGTAGACAGAAGGGTACTGTAGACAGAAGGGTACTGTAGACAGAAGGGTACTGTAGACAGAAGGGTACTGAAGACAGAAGGGTACTGTAGACAGAAGGGTACTGTAGACAGAAGGGTACTGTAGACAGAAGGGTACTGTAGACAGAAGGGTACTGTAGACAGAAGGATACTGTAGACAGAAGGGTACTGTAGACAGAAGGGTACTGTAGACAGAAGGGTACTGTAGACAGAAGGGTACTGTAGACAGAAGGGTACTGTAGACAGAAGGGTACTGTAGACAGAAGGGTACTGTAGACAGAAGGTACTGTAGACAGAAGGGTACTGTAGACAGAAGGGTACTGTAGACAGAAGGGTACTGTAGACAGAAGGGTACTGTAGACAGAAGGGTACTGTAGACAGAAGGGTACTGTAGACAGAAGGGTACTGTAGACAGAAGGGTACTGTAGACAGAAGGGTACTGTAGACAGAAGGGTACTGTAGACAGAAGGGTACTGTAGACAGAAGGGTACTGTAGACAGAAGGGTACTGTACACAGAAGGGTACTGTAGACAGAAGGGTACTGTAGACAGAAGGGTACTGTAGACAGAAGGGTACTGTAGACAGAAGGGTACTGTAGACAGAAGGGTACTAAAGACAGAAGGGTACTGAAGACAGAAGGGTACTGTAGACAGAAGGGTAATGTAGACAGAAGGGTAATGTAGACAGAAGGGTACTGAAGGCAGAAGGGTACTGAAGACAGAAGGGTACTGTAGACAGAAGGGTACTGTAGACAGAAGGGTACTGAAGACAGAAGGGTACTGTAGACAGAAGGGTACTGTAGACAGAAGGGTACTGTAGACAGAAGGGTAATGTAGACAGAAGGGTAATGTAGACAGAAGGGTAATGTAGACAGAAGGGTACTGTAGACAGAAGAGTACTGTAGACAGAAGGGTACTGTAGACAGAAGGGTACTGAAGACAGAAGGGTACTGTAGACAGAAGGGTAATGTAGACAGAAGGGTACTCTAGACAGAAGGGTACTGTAGACAGAAGGGTACTGTAGACAGAAGTGTACTGTAGACAGAAGGGTAATGTATACAGAAGGGTAATGTAAACAGAAGGGTACTGTAGACAGAAGGGTACTGTAGACAGAAGGGTACTGTAGACAGAAGGGTACTGTAGACAGAAAGGTACTGAAGACAGAAGGGTACTGAAGACAGAAGGGTACTGTAGACAGAAGGGTACTGTAGACAGAAGAGTACTAAAGACAGAAGGGTACTGTAGACAGAAGGGTACTGTAGACAGAAGGGTACTGTAGACAGAAGTGTACTGTAGACAGAAGGGTAATGTAGACAGAAGGGTAATGTAGACAGAAGGGTACTGTAGACAGAAGGGTACTGTAGACAGAAGGGTACTGTAGACAGAAGGGTTCTGTAGACAGAAGGGTACTGTAGACAGAAGGGTACTGAAGACAGAAGGGTACTGTAGACAGAAGGGTACTTAAGACAGAAGGGTAATGTAGACAGAAGGGTACTGTAGACAGAAGGGTACTGTAGACAGAAGGGTACTGTAGACAGAAGGGTACTGTAGACAGAAGGGTACTGTAGACAGAAGGGTACTGTAGACAGAAGGGTACTAAAGACAGCTGGATACTAAAGACAGAAGGGTACTGTAGACAGAAGGGTACTGTAGACAGAAGGGTAATGTAGACAGAAGGGTAATGTAGACAGAAGGGTACTGTAGACAGAAGGGTACTGTAGACAGAAGGGTACTGTAGACAGAAGGGTACTGTAGACAGAAGGGTACTGTAGACAGAAGGGTACTGTAGACAGAAGGGTACTGTAGACAGAAGTGTACTGTAGACAGAAGGGTAATGTAGACAGAAGGGTAATGTAGACAGAAGGGTACTGTAGACAGAAGGGTACTGTAGACAGAAGGGTACTGTAGACAGAAGGGTACTGAAGACAGAAGGGTACTGTAGACAGAAGGGTACTTAAGACAGAAGGGTACTGTAGACAGAAGGGTAATGTAGACAGAAGGGTAATGTAGACAGAAGGGTACTGTAGACAGAAGGGTACTGTAGACAGAAGGGTACTGAAGACAGAAGGGTACTGTAGACAGAAGGGTACTTAAGACAGAAGGGTACTGTAGACAGAAGGGTAATGTAGACAGAAGGGTAATGTAGACAGAAGGGTACTGTAGACAGAAGGGTACTGTAGACAGAAGGGTACTGTAGACAGAAGGGTACTGTAGACAGAAGGGTACTGTAGACAGAAGGGTACTGAAGACAGAAGGGTACTGTAGACAGAAGGGTACTGTAGACAGAAGGGTACTGTAGACAGAAGGGTACTGTAGACAGAAGGGTACTGTAGACAGAAGGGTACTGTAGACAGAAGGGTACTGTAGACAGAAGGGTACTGTAGA